GAACTATTTTCAATAAGACCATTGAAATCGATTGATGATGAGAATGAATTTAAGAATGAAAGTTGCACAAAAGCATGATATGAAATATTATCGTAAATACCACCAGTATCGAAAAATCTGAATGAATCTATATGATATTCATGAAAATTATGGAAGTGTTATTATGATGAATATATGGAATACGCGTTGTACTCTTTTTCCCTTGGATGAGGTTTTGTCCCATTGGGTTTTCCTAGCAAGGTTTTTAATGAGGCAACAGGGATGGCGTATTCACATGAATAGTGTACTCTTTTTCCTTCATTAGGATTTTGTCCCACTGGGTTTTTCCTAATAAGGTTTTAACGAGGCATATTCATGGTACAATGAAGACTACTGGATTATTTATATGATTCCTCATGATGATACTGGAATAGCTGTACTCTTTTTCCTTCGATCAAGTTTTTTTCCCACTGGGTTTTCTTGACAAGGTTTTAACGAGGCAGCACATGGATACTCCACTAATGATGATCAATTTGAGGGGGGCAATGTTGTGCTTCTACAATGCTCAGGTTTTGTCCCACCGAGTTTTCTTGAAGAAGCAATGTTATGATTTCAAGATGATCAGGTTTTGTCCCACCGGGTTTTCCTGACATGCTGAAGCAATGGTACCTGATGGCCACAAGATATACTTGAAGATGTGCAGATTGGACTTTGTTTAAATAATGATTCAAATATATTTAGAAAATAGTCATTCAAGGGGGAGTGTTATAAATATATATGGTCCACACCATTAATGTTATTATAAAATAATGTATGTGAATGACTATTTTGCCCCTGATGAAATTGTATTATTACGGTTGTGCCATCAGAAGTTTCCTATAAATAGGAGCTTCAGTTATAATGAAAATTGTACCCAAGAGAAACATTTTCTCTATTCTCTCTATTTTTTCTCTAGTTTTATAAATTTATATATATATATATTTTTTTTTTTTACAAAACGATAGATCTCAACATCATTTCACTAATTCAATTTTTTATTTGTATATTTCTAATTAAAATTCAAACCTAAAAGTGCATTATTAACGGAATTTGTGAAATTACTAATTTAATGGGCGATTTTATGTAATAGGATTTGCAAAGTTTTTAAGAGATAACATGCAGATCTTAATCACGCACAAACAAAATCATTACATGCGCAAAGCTACATAATATAAACATATGTAAAGTTCGTATTTTTTTTTTACAAACCAAATGCTTTGTTTGTTTTACTTGTTCTAAAATTTGAGAATGGCGAAGAAAATTTCGAGAATGACATTTTGCCAGAGTTCACTCAGCCACGTTTAGTGCCCCACTATCGCTCACACATAAGTCCACAGTCTGCTAGGCATGAGAAGAGACCTATAGCCGTCGCTAATACATTGGGGCTTCTCGTCGATGATCCAGCGCAGCTGCAGCCGCGCCGCTAGGTCGAAACAGCCCTAATGAAATCCACCATTGACCACTGCTTAAATCACTTTGGGCGAAATTGGTGCTTTTTTATGAAATTGGGATTGAGAGTGAGGTTTTGTGTGTGCCGATGTGTGTCAGATTGACTTATTGATTTTTGGGGCAAGATACTTCTGGTTTTTGATGGTGTATGTTCAATTAATGATATGTTTTTTAGTTATCATTAATGCTGAATGTTTTGCAATGAAAAATTTTCGGAGATGGTTTATGATGTTTTGATGATTTGTTAAGCTTTGCCGCCCTTGTGGTCCTACCCGGCTCGATTCCGGATTAATCGGTTCCCCTGTGGATCCGGAAACTGGAAGGTCCCTGTACCAAAAAAAATGGTTAATTTCAAGCTTATTTTCAAATATATCTTGTTCTTTTTGCCGTCATTCATGCAATATGTTTCATGAATCCTATGCAATCTACAACACTATCAAATTGAGTATATACAAAAAATTACCAATATTTGATACCCACAAGGCCACAACACTATCGAATTAAATATATACAAAAATTAACTTTAGTTATACTCATAATTTACCATAAGTTAAACGTTTACTTTACCAATATTTGATACCCACAACACTATCGAATTAAATATTTACAAAAAAAAAAAAAGTTAAACACTTAATTTATCAATACTTGTTACGGCCCACACGTATATAGACATAGATGTCATTATATAGACAAAATAAAATTGAGTTAAAGTCTTAATGTACTAATATAGGTTATTTTTAGTATACTTATATCTTTTACATCTTCGGTGAAACCATGAACCTTCGAATATCATAGTAGGTTCTCATCCACCACTGTAATAAAACTCTTATTGTGGTTAATTTCAAGTTTATCTCTAATATATTTTATTATTTCTATCATCATACCTATAACTTGTTTCACGAATGAAGTCCACATCAATATCAAGTTCAAGAGGATAAACATGCAGTGTTGAATCGATTTTCTAGCGAACTCGTAATTTTTCAAAATTAGTGACAAGGAGTTTTTCTTAGTTGTCAAGGAATCGTCTACCATTTTTACCACTCTGCTATCATCATCCACCCTCATAGGTGGAACCATCATTCACTTGATACATCTTCTCCAAATCACTTGATTTTGTGTTAATTTTGAGTTTATCAAAAACACTGTTTTGAAGCTCGTTGAAGCTGCAAATGCACTAATCAAAATCTCTCCATCTTGATAATCGACGTATCCATTATTAATCCAAACTCTATTATGATGGCTAAACAATATTAACTCAGACATTTTCTTAACAAATAAACACATTCAAGGTTTAAATTGCAACTCATGTAATGT